AAAAAGAAAGGCAAATTATCATGTAAACTAAAAATAAAAGCCTAAGGCTCCGCCTGCTCCCACCCAACTTCTGAACAGACCCCCTCTTAGTGAAGAGGACCCTGGATAAACCTTAAAATTGAGTTCCTAGCCATGAAGAGAAGAGAGGTAAGAGAAGAGAGGTTGGACATTCTTCTTTATACTCCCTCCCTTTTGGAGTTGAGACACGACAACTAACCAGCACTAATGTTAAAATAGAGATCATAAGACTGGCAAAACAAACTTTTATCCCAATAAGATACTGAATTCCAAATAGGACCTAAGGCCATGCAAGGCAAAGGTTAAGTCATGCCTACAGGCCATCACTTTGCTTAAGTTTGAGTCAGTATATTGTGGCTTGCTCTATGAATAGCTGTCTTCCTTATATGTGAGCAGTTATAGGAAGTCAAGCTAGGAAACAATGGCTGGTTAACTTTTAGCTATGTCTATACTTCTATAGATATCAGACTTTTACCACAGTTCTTGCCTTGTGGCTACTTTAATATAGATGGTTTCATTACTGTGATTATCTTAGAATTAAGTTTACTTGATTTAGATACTTGTTTACATGTTCATACATGAAAACACCACTAACAGAAAATTAAAAGATACCCAATTCAGAAGGGAATATAAACAAATTCGGAAAATGTAGGTCTCCCATCTGCTTTTTCTAAACCCTGTAAAATAACCTATTTGTTACTGACATGAAATGGGTCTAGCAAGTACTGACAACATAGCCAATAGGGGTCTCAGGTGTCATGATATCTCAAGCAAATAAAATTAGGTTAATCTAAATTAGATTATTTTGAACTTTTTTCTTTATATTTTACTAAAGCAGTAATTAAGTTATAATTACTATTAGATTATTTCGGAGCGTACTCAGCCTCCTGCTTTCGATGTTGAAAATGTCTTATAAATTAAATGTAAGTCATTTAATGCTGAGAATAAAAGATCTGTTTATCAAAAAATCTATAATTCATTTAAAATGGGAGTTAATATTTCCTCAAAAATTGTATACTTTTAAGATTTTTCATCGATAAAATTAATCACTTGTTTTTATATGTTTTGATTTTTTTTAAAAAAGAGACAATCTTTTGAAAACAGTTGCTAATCACCAGCCAGGAAAACCTTTGTCTGGGATGAAGATTCTTGATGTTGGCTGTGGTGGTGGATTGTTAACTGAAGTAAGTGACTTATAGCTTTCCTGCCATTTTTAACTGGGGGAAAAAAAATTAAGAGATGGGCTTGTGCCTCATTTATCCTTTCAACAAATAATATTATTCACTTAAAAAAGAGAAATGCATAATGTTGATTTTAATCTTTTCATGACTACAGATATAACACTTTTTTAAAAAAATAAAAATTTTAGAAAATTATAAGATTTTTTTTTTTAAATAAAAATGGGGCATGGGTTATTCAAATAACCTTGAAAATTTTGTGATCTCCTCTGTCCCAAGAAATGAGGCAATAATCCACCGGTTTAAATACATGGATAGGCTGTCCTTTTGCCCTTGTTTCAACAACAGACCTAACAGTTTCTCCTGCTCGTAGGGCTCTTCCCTTCCTAGGCGCTTTAGCATACTTGGCAGAGTAGTCATTCTTCTGTGAAGACTGTGTGCGTTAGCTTATGGTGAAGTCATGCCTTGAAGCTCTATTTTGTATTCCTCTGTCAACACAGGAGTTTTTTTTTCAATACTGCGTCATAATTTCATCTTTGAAAGATATTTTAAGCAACAGTATGGGGTACAAATGTAAGCTAAGATTCAGTGGGACGTGGGACCATCAAGGTCCACACCTCAACCAAGTTGACAGAGAGGCGAAGAAGCCTTCGATACACAAGTTCCCACATGCACAAAACTTGTATTCTTTACCTGATACTGGGCTAATTTCTTTTGACATCAATTATAAAATTTCAGAAAACTTAAAACGTGTAAATACATCCCCCAGAGTCAAGGCTATGTGGTGTACAAATTGTAAATGAGCAAGATTTTACCATGTGTGTTTTATAATCTGCTCTGTGTGTTACTGTAGATTCTTACATCTCTAAAGTAATGTGATTTATACTTTTAGTTTATTGACTAACCTGTTTAATATAAACACTATGCAAGTTTTTATTAAAATTAAGCCTATGTTTAAAAACTTGGGCATATCATTAGAAGTGACCAAATATAAAAACAGGGAATAATTAATTATAAAGAATCATTTCTAGTTAGTCACAGAAAAAAAACTGTTGAGAAAAAAGTTGTTCTTTAGAAAATCTGACTATTTCAGAAATGATTGCTGAGTTTTTCCAATGGCATGTGACATTTATTGTACTTTAAATATGTTAATACTGTACAATATGCATGTAAATGTACCTACAGCATATAAACAAAACCTTTTTCACTGTTCTCAAGTGGTTTTCGTTTTTTGAATTTTTTTTTTTTTTTTTTGAGATAGGGTCTCACTCTGTTGCCCAGGCTGGAGTACAGTGGCATGATCATGGCTCACTGCAGTCTTGAATACCAGGGCTCATGTCATCCTCCTGTCTCAGCTTCCCAAGTAGTTGGGACTACAGGTGTGCACCACCACACCCAGCTCATTTTTTAAAATATGTTTTTATGTAGAGATGGGTTCTCACTATGTTGCCCAAGCCATCCTCCCACCTCAGCCTCCCAAAGCTCTGGGATTACAGGTTTGAACCACCACACCCAGCCTCAAATGGTTCTCTCTGTTTTTGTTGTTGTTTTGATTGTTCTCGCTTTTAAACTTTTGAGTATGGAAAATTTCAAATGTATACAAACTAGAGAAAATGGTACATGAATTTCCACGCACCCATAAATGTTCACCAGTAATTATCACCTCATGGTTAATCTTTTTTATTTTTGTTATTTGTTGTTTTTTTCCTTTTTGATAAGCTTTTTATTGTTAATGGTTCTGTTTTCTTCCTGAGAATAACAGTTTTTTTATGCCCTTAGCCTCTAGGGCGGCTTGGGGCTTCAGTTGTTGGAATTGATCCTGTGGATGAGAACATTAAAACAGCACAGTGCCATAAATCATTTGATCCAGTCCTGGATCAGAGGATAGAGTACAGAGCATGTTCTCTTGAAGAGATTGTGGAAGACACTGCAGAAACATTTGATGCCGTTGTAGCTTCTGAAGTTGTAGAACATGTGCTTGATCTAGAAACATTTTTACAGTGCTGCTGTCAAGTGTTAAAAGTAAGACTTACGGATATCACTTCTTGGTTTTTTTTTCTTCTGAGGGTGTGTATGTATCCATCATCGTAATAAAATATTCCACTATACGTTAACAGTCCAGCAGGAAGGTATAACAAAAAAGAAACCAAGAGGCCAATATTAGGGGACAGCATCTCTACTGAAGATCACTCCTGCCCCTCCGCTTGCCCTCGATACCAGGGTTTTCCAGTGTCCTATTAGTAACTTGATGTCCAGAGGTCTTAAAAAATGTTGGTTCTGAGCATTGAAAAACCATACATTTATAGCAGTATTTTTCCATTGGTACAGTCTAGATTAAATACTTAATAGACATTGAAGGACAATTACCAAGAAAATGATATGGATTAATAGTTAAAAATCAATAAAAACAATTATTAGCCTAAATTTATTTAAATAGCATAAGTAATTCTGTATGTGACACATGTATAACAGTTTTCAGCTTATGAAAGAATACTTCATACATTTGATCTTACCTACAACTAAGTGAAGAAGGAAAGGATTATTATCACCTCCTTTGACCTATGAGGATTCAGGATTTGTGAGATGTCAAAGGTCACTGTACCTTTACGTCAAAAGTCACTACGCTCTTAACTAAGGCTTAAGACTAGATCATTTGATTCCAAGTCTAGTTCTTTCCATTACTTATGCTTATACAGTATAATTTACCACAGACTTACTAGTCCTCTGAATGTAGTTCTAATTTTCTTTTAATAAATTTCGCTATAGTAATATTATTACTATATTGACTCTGTTGTTTATATATTCAGGAGGTAACAACCTAAGGTCAAAAGCTAAAGGAATGAAATACTTAGCTCTTATCTAAGTAGAGCTTTTAATTTTACTTTTATGTATTTATTTTTTGAAATAGGGTTTTACTTTGTCCCCCAGGCTAGAGTGCAGTGGCATGATCATAGCTTACTGCAACCTCCAACTCCCAGGCTCAAGGGATCCTCCTGGCTCAGCCTCCTGAGCATCTAGGACTACAGGAATGCACCACCACACCCAGCTCATTTAAGAAAATTTTTTGTAGAGACAAAAAATTTTGTCTCGTTATGTTGCCCAAGCTGGTCTGGAACTCCTGGCCTCAAGCATTCCTTCTGCCTCGGCTTCACAAAGTGCTGGGATTACTGGAGTGAGCGACCGTGCCTGGCTAAATAGAGCTTTTTAAAACAATTTTATGTTTAAGTAATTTTAAACTTATAGAAGAGTTGTGCCTTTTACCCTTATGTTAACATTTCACATCATAGAGGTAGGAACTAGGATGAGTGAAGTGAGTCACCCAGGGCAGAAAATTGCAGGAGACAGTCCCTCTTAGATGCCAACCCTGTACCTGCTCAGCCTGAAAGGGGTTGCCTATTTCCATTCTGTGCCCTAGGAACCTCACCTTTCTCAACCTAGTCCTAGCCTTGTACATATCCCCTGGTACAGTTCTCAAAACTAAGAGGTTAGCATTGGCATTATACTTAATAACTGTACTACAAAGCTTTTTATTTTTATTTATTTTTTTTTAGAGCTTTTTAAATTTCACTAATTTTTTGCTAGCATCATTTTTCTGTTACAGGATCCAATCCAGGCTAACAGGTATTTAGTTGCTATGTTTCCTTGGTCTCCTTCAATATGTGACAGTTTCTCGGTGTTTTCTCCTAAATGGAGTTTTATTAGGCTTGTCTCTTATTTTCCAAGTAAAACTCCTAAATTATTAGTTTTTGTATGGTGTGTCAGTCCGTATGTATACATGGAGGTTCTTTGACACATATGAAGAATGCTGGCATTGTGATTTTAAAACTAAATTTTACTTTAATGGAAAATAGAAAGCCTATATTAAAAAAAAAAAAAAGATCATTTGCTTACCACCATTTCCATAGAGTAGGATTTGGTAGAAGACAGATTAGATATTCATAAGTGATTCTTAATAAAATATTTTAGAATACCAGAGTTTTACAGAGAAAAGCCAGAATGTGTGATGATATAGTATATAATATTTCTGTTTTTAATTTAAGGGCACACTCCAATATTTCGGGGCTTCCTTTTTTCTTTTTGGTTCAGGGTGGTATTTGAGATATATTATCTATTTCTCGTCCACTTCTTTCTCTCTTTCTCTGTGTCTATGGTAATATGATTGTTTTGGAGGGAATCTTTGGCATTGTTATCAGGCTAATGAGAATGTATAGAAGAAGGAGGGAATATTAATGTTCTTGCTGTTTGTGTGACTAAACATAGGAGACATCATAAATTGTAGTCACTAAAACATGGCAGACTTAAGGTCCCATAAATGGTTTGCATTTATCTAAGTGCTTATCTTGATATCTTTATGTTCTTTATACAAATGAAATCAAAACCAAAGCAAAAACTTTCAAACTTTAATTGTTGATGCTTTTGTCAGAAAACACTTATTGACAGTGCTCCCTGCCCAAGATGTATAGCTCTGTATCTTACCAAACAAGTTAGACAGGCTCAGCACTTGAAGAGAAAACCATGCTGACATAGGTAAGGACGTGAATGTGGACATGTGACAAGGAAAAACAGCCTGATCTCATTTCCATATTTTTATTATAAAGCATTTGATATGTACAAAAGAATATGTATGATATAAGTCATAGTAATTATGATTTTAAGAGTTGTAAGTACTGTTGTATAAACTTAGTGAGTGCATCTGAAATGCCTTTAATAATGAATTTCCCAAGAGAAAACAATACTGTTTTGGTAAATTATATTTTATTCATACTTAGATATCTTAACTACACTTAAAATATTTGAGAGGAAGGAGGAGGAAGCCAAGCTTAAATGTTACACACATAACCTTTAAATTCTTCTTCTATACAATTTTACTTCCTCTAGCCCGGTGGCTCTTTATTCATTACTACAATCAACAAAACACAACTGTCCTATGCCTTGGGAATTGTTTTTTCAGAGCAAATTGCCGGTATTGTACCAAAAGGTACTCATACTTGGGAGAAGTTTGTTTCACCTGAAAAACTAGAGAGCATTCTAGAACCAAGTAAGTATTAAGAGTATTTTTTCCAGTTTTCAAGGCCTGAGTGAACTTTTAATGCACCTATAATTTATTAATCATACAACCTAGCACTTAATTAAATAGGCCACTATTTTTTTGGATGCTGTGTTTTTCTCCTAAACTAGGTCATAAACTCCTTAAAGTCGGTTAAGTAGTAGATACCACTTCTCTCTCACCTGTAGTAGCACCTAACCCAGGGCCAAGCAAGTAACAGATGATCAATGAATACTTTCTGGCTATTTAGTTCTCACTTGTTTCAGGATGAGGTACAACAATGTCTATTATTTATATATCCTCAATTTGCCCTATTAAGCTGTGCTTGTAGCAGCTTACCTCTTTTTCCTGATTCTTCTACACTCAGATATATGTTGAACTTCCAAGTCACTTTTTATGTATTTTATTTAACTTGCAGCATACCTTATATTGTGGTTATTTTGGTGTTTTTTCATCTTTTTATGGCCTGTAAGCTCCTTGAAGGGAAAACTCTATGTCTACTTTTTATACTCTCTATACTGCCTAACTTTGCTTTATACATGGCACTCAACTTGTGTGTTGAATTCCTGTCAAGTAATAGTGTTTGTCAAATCATTTATTTGGCATTTGGTATTCCTGTTGAATACTTAGACTCCTGTGTTTCTCATGCTTTTGGTCCTAGAAGAGTCTATCAATAAACTTGATTTTACTTTTCAGTCTATAGCAATGTAGTAAGTTCTAAAGATTTTTGTGAATAACTTTGTTGAAAATAGAGTAGAAAAATATTTTAAAGATGCTTTATGGGGACAATCTCTTATTGGCAGGTATTTTCTAATAACAGCTAATATTTACTGAGTACTTACCAAATTCCAAGCACTGTGCTCCTTTACATACATAGCTTATCTAATTCTAACAGCTCTATGATATATGTTCCGTAGATGTGGGAAAACTGAGATTTAGAAAGGTTGAATGACTTGCTCCACACACCATCTAATAGGTGCCAGATCTGGGATTTGAACGCAGGCAGTCTGCTTTAGAGTATGTGTTCTAATCTGCAGTAAAGTGTGATTCATACATGGTTGCAAAGTATTTTTGCCCCTTACGTTAGAAATCCCTTTTTAATATGGAAAGTTGCATGAGACTCTTGGCACTTGGAAGGTAAATATTTATTAAATCTACTCTTTCTGATATTTTTTTCAGATGGTCTGTCAGTTCAAACTGTGGCAGGAATGCTTTATAACCCCTTCTCAGGTCACTGGCATTGGAGTGAAAATACCAGCCTTAACTATGCAGCTCATGCCGTGAAATCCACAGTACAGGAACACACGGTGCCTGCTGAATTTGTTTTAAAGGAGGAAACAGAAGAGCTCCAAGCTAATGCCTACACCAGCCCAGGCATGCATGAAGAGCTGAAGAAATAAATCGTTTCTAGGGACTATAGTAATATGGCTTGAAAGTCTGATGTTTATAAGTATAAAAAGTATGTAATTTATCCATTAAGAGAGAATCATGAAGAAAGGGTCAATAAAAAGGGCTAAAACCTGAACAAAAGTTTTTATTGTTTCATCTAATAGCTATTTTCAAGGGATTTTGTGGATAAAAAGTTTTATCAAGGTTTTACATGATCTGGGAGTTTAAGTTCCTCAGCCTTTGTTATATAAATAGAGTATGCATATTCATTTTATCTTATAGATTAGATATATATTTCTTTCCCACATGTATTCACATACATATATGCTGTCATTTGCTTTAATTTTAGGGAGTCTGTATCATCTATGTTCTACTTTATTTGGTTTTAGTTAAAGGCAGCTATTTTATTGAAACCTTAAAATCTGTACCCCCATAATATGCTGAAATAAAAAAAAAGGCAGTTATGCTTCTGACTGATGAAAACCAAATATAGTTTTGATTCACTTATATTTGAGAAGATAAAATATATTTTTTCCTTTGTTGGAAAGCAAATGAGTTGTTAAATATGTGCTGGATTTGGATTCAAACATTAAAATCAAGACGTTCAGATTATATTGGACATGCTTCTGTATATAGTTCCTTAAAAGTTTTATGGTGCTTTTTTTCTTGGTAGAAATAATTTTTTAAAAACTCAGTTTCAAAATTCAGTTACAGAGCCAGGCACAGTGGCTCACAGATGTAATCTCAGCACTTTGGGAGGCCAAGGCAGGAGGATAACTTGAAGCCAGGAGTTCAAGACCTGCCTGGACAATATAGCAAGACCCTATCTCTACAAAAAATTTAAAAAACAAAATAAAATAAAAATTCAGTTATGGAAATTTCCCTTTTCAGTTAACATTTTTTATAATTAAAAGGGCTACCTTGAAATATGTTTTTATGCCTCTTGAAGTACATGAGTCTCTGGATTTTTCTGAAAGTCCACATGTTGTATAAGGACACACTTGAGGGGTATTGGCAACATAGATGGAAAGCATGTGGTTCACGTAGAAGGTCAACTTTTTCTGTCTAGACTTTTTCACTTTTCAGCTCATATGTTTTCTGTATTCCATTGTCAATGTCTGTTGGATTGTGCAAGCATCTTAGCTTATCATTTGTTCACAGTGGCATTTTAGGGGAAGAAACTGAAATTTAAAGAATTAGAAAATAAATTTTAACTTTAGCTGCTAATAAATAATTAGGGAACTAAAAATTAGGAGTTCCCATTTGCCATCATTTAAAAGTTTGATTTTTAGTCTGAATTCTAATAGTTTTCTTGGTAAAAGAAAGCTTACTCTGTTAGAAGAAAAAGTGTTGATATTAAAGATTAATGTAAGAAACACGTAATGGAACTGATTAAAAGGCAGTCCCCCCAATAAAATGCATTTATTTTAGAAAGAGATATCTTTCACAACTATTAAATGTATACATTGTTAACTATTAGAAATTCGGGATGATTTAGTAATAACTATGTTTGTTGTTTTACTTGACTTTCTATGGAATGAAAAGATGAAAATCTCTTGCTTCTGTGTATAATCTAATTTGATCTTATAGGCCAATTTCAACCATATTCCAGGAGAAATAGGCTCAAAAAGACACTACAATTTTTCTAAAACATTTTTTTGTAAAATGAGGATTGTCCAGCTGAAAAATTCTAATTTTGAGAACTACTTCTTTTTGAAAACCAGTATTATTGTAAAGACTCTAATCTGCAAAACTTCCCCCAGGAACTCTGGGTGCATAAGAGTCCCCTGCAAGAAATAATAATGGAAACTGTAGGGTTTGATAGGCCAATAAGAGACTAAATCTGTCTTAAGAAAAAGAACAAGACTGGAGAGAGCAGGAAGGTGAATTTGCTTGGGATCTTGGTTTAAGGTCAGAGGAACAACTCTAGGAAGCTGAAAGATGACATAGACCACTTAGTCTTCATCAAGGGAGTCAGATTGGGGCTACTAATTATAAAAACTCTAGACCATTTAAGGTTGGCTCAAAGAGCTATGATCACTGGGAAAGCAAAATGTTCAGCACTCGGAGGTAGCAATGAATGATGGTAGGAAGGGTCACAGCAAGGCAGGTAGTGACAAGAAAGAAAGTGGTGTAGCTTTTTCCAAAACATCCATAAGGAACAATAGGAGCCAGCACCCAGCACACATGCAAAACTTCTATAAAACCTGGAGAAGCCTTCTCAAAGGAAGATTCCAGAAACTAGCAATAGCAATGAATAAAATCAATAAAATAAACATTGCTATATTTGTGTGTTCTATATTTTTCCTCAAGGTAAAACATCACCAAAAAATTGGCTTTAATTCTTTTATTTTATAAGTTTACATGAGGCACTAGAATGTCATCACAGTGTCTGTCCCTTAAATTATGCCTGAGTGTTCACAAATGAAAATGTCAGTATCACTACAACTGTGATCTTAGGAAACTTCCTATTTTGGATGATAATGTTAGGATTTGGAAGTCAGTAGTATCATTTGGATACTAAGGTTGAACATTGTATTCGACTGGTTATGATTTGTTAACAAAGTTATTTTATAGTTAAGTTTAAGACTGACTCCACAAAGAGTCATTCTTTGTAACTATAGTGCTTTAGGGAATTTGCCAAAGATGTTCCTTTCATTCCAGTTGATTCCATAGTGGATAATTAGAAAAGTTACAGAGCAAAGTATGTCCTCTCTTTCCCCTCCCTAATTCAGCCAAACATGTCAAAAGGGGTGTCCTTATCTTACTCTCTCACTTCTCAGCTCACTCTGATCTGCTTCCTCTATCATTGTTTCATTGAAATAATTCTCCCCAAAGTCAAAAATAACTTCCAAAAAACTATACTCAAAGGACATTCATGACTGTTGCTTGAAACAGGACTATTGTATTTATCTAAGGGTGGTTTTCATCTCTCTAAACTTATTAATGGAATTCACTAAGAGTAAAACTGTCCCCTTTCCTCCATATACTTATTTATTTACATCTACATGGACTCATGGATATTTATTATCTTTGATGGGTTTAATTGATTCCTATCATTTTTGTTACTCAAATTGTCCCAGATTTGGCCATTGGAACCTCTTCTGTGTCCTTTCATGTCCCCATGAGCACTTTTTGAGCACTTCCTTACTTTCTGCCACCACAAGATGCTCCAGGCTTAGCTCATATTTTTCCTGATCCAGTCCTAGAATTCAAGAAGCCCCAATTCCTTTTCCTTTACCAAGATCTCAGCACTAAGGATTCTCATAACTACCGGGGTGTCATTGTTTCTAGGCCCTCTCAGCAGACAGCTAGGAAATATATGAATGCATACACACGCACACGTCTATATTTATTTCTGTGACTGTGTGTGTGTGTGATGTGTGTGTAATCCTGCTGATACCTCTGATTGCAGTCCAACACCACAGGGTGTATTCCAACATTCTTCCTTTCTTTATTTGTAACCTTTTCTTTGACAATGAGAAATCTAGGTCTCATTATCCACAATGTATTTATTTGCTCAATCCTAGAATACTCCTAAAGTAGTTTCAAAATTGCTAACCCGTAACCCTTTGAAAACAAATTTACTTTAGCATTAGGATATATAGTTAAAATACTGTTTTCCAAAGTTACTTAGGTTTTCTTCCTCCTCCACTTCAGTTTGTTATTCATTCATACACAGGATCGTATGTTACAGTTTGCATTCCATTTCAGGTCCCCTTTTCCCTACCTCTTGGCTAATTTAAAGTATTTACTTTTGGAGTATGTGCCACTAACACGGTTCTAAAAGTCAGAACTATACAGAAAGTTATACTCAGAGACATGTCACTCCCCCACATATATCCCTTATACTTTGTTCCCATCTCCCCCATCCTTTCCACTTCATTCTTGCTTGCTTCCTGTAGGGAACCAATTTCATTCTTTTTCTGGCTTTGTGTATGTTGCACGTGTTTTGGACAAATGAACAGAAATGTGTATTATGTCCCCTCTTGCTTACATGAAAAGTAAGTACTATAGGTACTGTTTTACCCTCTGTCTCAAGCTGCATGTTCTTACATTCTGGGAACATGGCTCAGTTCTCCTTCCACTGTCAAGAACATTCAAACCCCCTAACAACTAGCTAGCCCCGTCTCACTTCTTTCTACTTTTCCTTCAGACCTCACCTAAACATTATGTCTCCTGAGATTTCTCTTACACCCCTGGCTAGGCAAATACCCTTTTAATATTATATTAGGTCATTAAGTATGAAATGTCCAATTTCCTTAAGTGCTAAGTTTGACAGTTGATATCCTGACATTTTACTTTCACACTTCTTGGCTTTCCTCCCCCATTGTGAAGGTACATCCTCAGTCTTTGAAACACAGTTTGGCTTGTGATTATCTTTCATATTTTTTAGAGCAATTTTTGTGAAACCGTAGATAAGTAAAAAATTCATGTTATTTTTTAATATGAGCTCCATCATGGAACCAATGCAGTGCACACTGCTCAAAATATCATTGAAGTGTTTGAGAAGGATGTGGCTAATGAATGCATAGTACGTCTATGGTTTAAGAAGTTCCATTCTGGAGATTTTAATTTTGAAAATGAGCCACGTGGATGACCTGAGACCAAGGTGGATAATGATAAGCTGAAAGCTGTAGTAGAAGCAAATCCATCTCAACTTACATGTGCATTAGCAGCAAGGTTTGACATTACTATTCCAACAATATTGGACTATTTGAAACAAATTGGCAAGGTAAAGAAGCTGTAGCACATGAATTAAACAAGCGTCAGAAGAGAAATCATCTCGAAGCTTGCCTTTCTTTGCTGTAACGAGATAAAGGCAAACCATTTCTGCACCATATTGTTACATGTGATGAAAAATAGAGTTTTTCCTAACAAATTGCAACCATTCAGTACAATGAATGGATAAAGATGGAGTGCCAAAACACAGTCCAAAACTGAATGCGCCTCAAAAAAAACGCTAATGGTGTCTGTTGGGTGGTCAAGCGTTGGTATTATCCACTACAGCTTCATAAAACCTGGTCAATCAATTACAGTGGATATCTACTGCAACCAGTTGGACAAAATGATAAGAATGCTTGCGATTAAGCAAAGATTGGTCAATAGAAACAGGCCAATCCTCCTGCAAGACAA